GCCGCGTCCTGGCATCCCTGCCTCCAAGGAGGAAGCATAGGACAAACCCACATTTACGGACATCCTACAGAATAACTGGGCTGCACTTCCATAAATGTCAGTCTCACGAAAGACAAAGATGGAGATCTGTCTGTTCCAGATGGAAGGAGACTGGAGAGACAGGACAGCCAATAGAAAGTACGACCCTGGACTGGATCCTGGACCAGGAAAAAATCTAGAGAGAGATTTACTTTTTCTATAAAGAACATTATTGGGTCAATTGGCAAAATACCAAACACACAGGTAACTCACTCACATACACACAAGCATACCTAGACCCATCATATTTAAACTGGAGAAAACCAACTATAAAGAGAAAATTTTAAAGCAACTTAGGGTAAACTGAATAACGGCCCCCAAAGATGTCCTGTCCTCATCCCCAGAGCCTGTGAACGTTACCTTATTTGGCAAAAGAAAGTTTACAGATGTGACTAAGCTAAGGATCTTGAGATGGGAGATTATCCTAGATTATCTGAGGGTAAATAAAAATGTTAAAAAAAAAAAAAAGAAAACCCTGGAATGAATTTTTTAAAAAAGCATCAGACCTATTTGAAGAGAACTAGAAATATCTTACCCCAGAACTGACCACATTCCTTCTTTTTGACAAATATTCATGAAGCAGCTCCTATATGTCAAGGTCTTCTAGGTGCTGGGGCCAGAAGACTTGAGAAGACAGATAAGGTCACCCTCACGTAGATTTCATGTTCTATTTGGGGAGACAGACAATAAACAAATTCTGTGTGTGTGTGTGTGTGTGTGTGTGTGTGTGTGTGTGTGTGTTTGTATCCGTAAATATAGTAAATATAATATTATTTTAAAACGAGGGTCAGGAGGACTTCCCTTGTGGTCCAGTGGCTAAGACTCTGCACTCCCAATGCAGGGGGCCTGTGTTCGATCCCTGCTCAGGGAACTAGATCCCACACACATGCCGCAACTAAAGATCCCACATGCCGCAACTAAAGATCCCACATACCACAACTAAGACCTGCACAGCCAAGTAAATAAATAAATAAAATTTTTAAAATAATTAATAAAACAAGGGTCAGAAAACAGAGGTTTAGGGGAGAGAACAGATGGTTAAGGGGGGTGGTCTGGGAGAAATTCTCTGGGCAGTTGCCCTTTATGCAAAGACCTAGATGAAGTGAGGAAGTGAGTCAGGCCAGTATCTGGGGGCAGTGTTCAAAGCACCAAGAACAGCTTGTGCAAAGGCCCCTTGGCAGGAACAAGTTTGGTGTTTTCAAGGAATATCAAGAAGTCCAGTAATACTGGAGCAGAGTGAGGAAAGAAGATGTGGTCAGAGGTCAAGTACAAGAGGCTGTGACTTCCCTTGCAGTCCACTGGTTAAGACTCTGCGCTCCCAATGCCAGGGGTCACAGGCTCAGTCCCTGGTCAGGGGAACTAAGATTCCTCATGTCACACGGTGCAGCCAAAAAAAAAAAAAAGAGGCAGCTAGTGACCAGGTCATATCAAGACTGGGACTTTTTCCCTCAGGTAGTGGGAAGGCATTGGAAGGTTTTGAGCAAAGGAGTGATGGCAGTGGCAGAGGGTGTTTGTGTCAACAGTCGATGACTGTGGAACACGAGTGGAAACAGGGAGACCAGTTTGCAGGCCATGGTTCACGTGGGAGGTTTTGGTGGCCTGGACTAGGGTGGGAGTGGCAGACATAAGAAGCGATGGGACCACAAAGATCTGATGAAGGTAGAGTTTCTAGGACTTACCAACGGATTGGATGGGAGCTATGACATTTTCTTGAGAAAATCAAGTTTTGTGTGTGTGTGGTAGGATATATATATAGATAGATAGATAGATAGATAGATATACATGACGTAAAATTTACCATCTTCACCATTTTTAAGTGTACAGTTCAGTGGCATTAAGTACATTCACACTGTTGTGTGACTCTCACCACTGCCCATCTCCAGAACTTTTTCATCTTCTTAAACTGAAACTCTGCCCTCATTAAACAGTTATTCTCACTCACCCCTTCCTCAAGCTTCAGAAACTGAGGTGTGTGTGTGTGTGTGTGTGTGTGTGTGTGTGTGTGTGTTTTAATAAAATGTTATCGTACTTAGGAATACTTTTACTATTTACAGAAAAGCTGGAGAATTCCCTGGTGGTCCAGTGGTTAGGACTCTGTGCTTTCACTGCAGGGGGCCTGGGTTCGATCCCTGGTTGGGGAAATAAGATTCCACAAGCCACGTGGCCTGGCCAAAAACATAAATAAATAAAAGCTGTAAAGATCATACAGAGACCCCCCCACATACTCCTCACCCATAACTTACGTAACTGTGGTACGTTATATGTAACTATGGGACATTTGCCAAAACTAATAGATCAATACCGTACATCACTATTAACCAACTCCATACTTCACTCGAATTTCATCAGCTTTTCCACTGATGTCCTTTTTCTGCTCCAGGCTCCACCCTGTGATCCCACATGGCATTTAGTCATCCTGTCCCGTTAGGCTCCTCTGATCTGTGACAGTTTCTCAATCTCTTTTTTTTTTTTTTTTTTTTGCGGTACGCGGGCCTCTCACTGTTGTGGCCTCTCCCGTTGCGGAGCACAGGCTCCGGGCGCGCAGGCTCAGCGGCCATGGCTCACGGGCCCAGCCGCTCCGCGGCATGTGGGAACTTCCCGGACCGGAGCACGAACCCGTGTCCCCTGCATCGGCAGGCGGACTCTCAACCACTGCACCACCAGGGAAGCCCTCCTCTTATTTTTGATGAGTTTGACAGTTCTGCAGAGTTCCGCTCAGGTATTTTATCGAATCTCCTTCCGTTTGGGTTTCTCTGATGTAGCCCTCCTGTTTAGACCAGGGTTATGGAGTTTTGGAAAGACGACCGGAGAGGTGAGATGCCTCATCTTCTCATCACATCGCATCAGGGGTGCGTGGCACCAACGTGTCACTGGTGAGGCTCACCTGGATCACTGGGTCAGGGTGGCACGATGGTATAAAAGAATTTATACCCTTTGAGTCAGGTGTGCCACTGACATGATTCCAGCCCATGGAAATAAACGGGTACGGAAATGTTTACATCCTTGGAATTTTTTTTTTTTTGAGGTATAATTGACATACAACTCGGATGTTTATTGTAGTGTTATTTGTAACAGGAAAATAACTTCAGTAATGTTATGGTTAACCTATGGCATATACATAGGATAGAATATTATATATTCATTCAAAAATCATGTTTTTCAGGATTATAAATGCTCAGAAATAATGAAAAGTGAATAAAGCAGAATGCCAACCTCTATACAGTAGAAGGTTTCTAATTTTGTTTTTAAAAATTGTGTGTGCATATTTTAAAATGTGAATAGTGGGTAATTTTAGGTAATGGAATTAGAGGTGATTTCTTTTTCTGTGTACTTTTCTGTATCTGGTAAAATTTTTGTAACAGCATATATCATAATGAGAAAAAATGCTTTTAAAAAGATATTTTCTACCAATGATGACCTAATTAAGACTAAAGATTGATAACTTCACCTAATACCAGATTCTATACTTTAGATAAAGAGCTGAATTTTTGGTTCATTTGACACAGAGATAGATTTGCCATGAAGTTAATGGAGCTTAAAAGCTTCTGGGCACCTCCCTTGCACTGGCCACTTCCATGGCCTTGGGGGATCCTAGCAACACATGCACATATGTTTTTGTAAAATTTGCTAAAGTGAGATCTTTTCACCACATCAGTTAAGGTTGCTGTCTCCTGTTCTGCCTTCCTCTTTCTGTCACAAGCCCTGTGTTAACTTCCTCTTGCTGCTATAACAAATTACACAAACTTAGAGGCTTTAAACATCACACGTTTATCTGACAACGGTTCTGGAGTTCAGAAGGCAGAAAGTGGGTTTTACAGAGCTAAAATCAAGGTGTCAACAGGCTGTGTTCCTTCCGGAGGCTCCCAGGGAGAAACTGTGCCTTGCCCTTCCCAGCTCCTTGGGCTGGAATTCCTTGACTTGTGGTGCCTTCCAGCAAGGGCACCAATGTGCCCTTGGATTCCCTTGTCATCCCCCTTCTGCCTCCTTCTTTTTATACTAGGATCCTTGTGGTTTCATTAGGGGACCCCTGTGGCCCCACCCAGATAATCAAGATAATCTCATCTCGGGCTTCCCTGGTGGTGCAGTGGTTAAGAATCCGCCTGCCGATGCAGGGGACACGGGTTCGAGCCCTGGTCCGGGATGATCCCACATGCCGCGGAGCAACTAAGCCCGTGGGCCACAACTACTGAGCTCGCGTGCCACAACTACTGAAGCCTGCGTGCCTAGAGCCCATGCTCTGCAACAAGAGAAGCCACTGCAATGAGAAGCCTGCACACAGCAACGAAGACCCAAGGCAGCCAAAAATAAATAAATAAATAAATTTAAATTTAAAAAACCTTTAATTAAAAAAAAAAAAAGACAATCTCATCTCAAGATCCTAACTGTAATCACATCTGCAAAGTCCCTTTTGCCTGTAAGGTAACATAACAGGCTCTGGGGATTAGGATGTGGACATCTTTAGGGGCCATTATTCTGCCCCCCATAAGCCACTGTGTCAGGTGATGTTTGAGTGGAGATGGGCATTTTGGGAGTCTCAAGAAGGGGAAGCTGGGTTGGAGATTACATTTAGTTTTAGTTTAATGGTAAGTATTATGTGGCTTGATGTTATTTCTGTGTCTGGGTAAATTATTGCTAGATGTCCTGGTATAGGAATGGTTTCCAGGAATAATCCGATGGTTGACTGTCAACTCTTCTGGTAACTCGACATCAAGGGACAAGACCCGAGGTCATATTGTGGTGTGAACATGTTCCCAACTCCAAAAGTATGTGGGTAGCAGAGGAGAAACAAGGTTTTAAATGTACAGAGCCAGCAGCTAGTCTGTGGAAAATTCTTCCAGTCATTAAATGGGTGTAATTGTCAACAGAGGATTTGTTTTTCATCAATGCGTTGTCAAAACGGAAGTTCCCTCTGGTCAGGAAGATACTCAGTAACATAGCGTATTCAGTTATAAATACACCAAACATTCTTTTAAATTGTTGAAAGGAAGTAGAATTTATCAGAATTCTTGTCTGTAGGGGATAGACCTGTAGCACCACGAAGGACAGCAAGTGTGTCTGTGGTATGAATTTTCATGTTTCATTCATCCTTATTATCAATAATAAAAAGGTAATCAATCACGTTGGAGGAAACATTAAATTATCTCTATTCTCTCCATAGAAAATGATATTATGAAGTTGTTGTCACAGGAAGAGGCAAAGCGTCTGCAGCCAAAGATGTAGGGAAGAAAGGCACATGAGA